CCATTCGTTTCGCCAGGAAAATTACGCCGATCTTTTTCCTTTTTCCCTTTCCTCGAAGGGATGGTATTCGATGGAGGAGGAGGAACGAAGGAGAGAGGATGAAAAAAGTGTGATTTCGGTCAATTTCGAGTAAACAATTTTATTCTGGAAGAGTGACGCATGAGAGGACGCACGAGATGGGTATATGTAATTCTTCTGGGAAACGCTCGCTTCGTGACCCGTATTTTTGTCACCGTTCTATAAATATTCTTTTTTACACGTGATGCGAAAGAGGAAGATTCGCCACGTCTTATTTGAATAGCTTTATAAATTAAGAATCGGATTTATATATTTAAATCGAGTTAAAATACAAACGGCTGACGCGTAAATACGATTAAAAAGTGAAAAGAAGAGAGAGAGAGAGAGAGATATGAATAGAAATAGAATTTCTTGCAAGGGGAAAAAGGAGAAATATCTTTATCGAAACGAAAATATCTATGCTAGGATTCGAAAATAAGAGTTCGGAGCAGATAAAAACTTCCACGGCCGACAAAAGAGCAGAAAGTGACTTTCAACCCAAAGAGGATTAGCATATCAAAGGCTCGAAGTGAAATCGTAGAAATGATGGATTCATCGACGCGCAGCTTCAATTGCGAAACGAGGGATCGTGGAGCGGGTTCGATGATGCGAAGGAAGAAGCCACGGTTTCTTTCTTCGTTATTTCGATCGATATTTTTCCCTTTGCGCGTACACTTGGCGGTGAAATTTTCTCTTGATCGGGAAGTGACGATTGGACGTCCAACTTGGAGTCCATTGTTCGATCGTTTCGTTGTCGTCCAACTACGATTGTGTCGAGTCACAGTGACAATGGAAACAATGGTGAACGGTTGGCGTCATCGTGCCGCGAGCGCCGACTTTCCCCGTCTTTTCGTATTCAAATTCCGGCTTCTAGAGCATCATCGTGCGTCGAATGATTTCGTCGACCAGTTACGAGCATTCATTATGTAAAGCGTTCACGCTAGACGACTTTTCGTTTCCCAACCACGAGCCTCGAACTCGATCTTAAAGTCTTTTTCCCCCGATAATAAACTTCGAACGAACATCCATTCGCGTAAAGCCGCGTTTACAACTTTGACGACCAAGTTCATCTTAAATTCCTCGGAATCGTCGTCACAATTGTGTTCCGAATTGAATTAAATTTTAATTTGCGCAAGATTTCGAAGATAAATTTGGCTCGATTTGAATCGGAATTAGAAGTGGAAGCGAGAATGTAAACGTGGTTTTACGATTTTGGTCATCTCGAAGACCAGCGATTTTCCAATAAAACGCGCGGGATTCGAAATTGCGTGGCGACCAACGTTTAATAAACGCTTCGTTTCAATGCCTCCCATGGTGTTGCGGAAAATGAGATTCCCGATATGTACAAGCGTGTATTTATTAAACGTAAAATTGATAAACTGTTTGCTATGCTTTTCGACAGAGGGGACAGGACGAGAGACTAGAGGAAAGGGCTAGAAATGGATTAATGCGTTTTTGGGGGTTTTTTGAAAAATTTTAGATTTCGAGATATTTTTGTTCGTTTCAAGGAAGTTTCGTAAAATTTAAATATTCTTGCGTTTATTCAACGAGTTTCTCTTTGGCTTGAATCGGCGGCAAAAAATTTCTCCTTTCTTGAAAGCGATTCATCGTGTTTTTCTTCTCTTTGAAGCAACTTTGCGCCGAATACAACTTTCCATTCCCGCTCCCGTGCCCTCAACTTTGCGAGATTTCCCTCTTCAGAAAATTCTTTAAACTTCTTTACATTTCGGATCAACATTTTTTGCAACAGTCAACTTTTTCCTCCCCACATCTCGTTACAAAAATCATTTCAACGATCTTCTCACGCGTGTTTCCAAAAATTTCATCCCCTCAATTCAAAAATATTCCAAAGAAAAATTCAAATGCAATAATAACTTCCAAACTATCGAACACTTTACGTATCCCTGAAAAGATCTCTGCCCAAATTTTCTTCGACTATCTATCCTCTTCCAATGTAGGAAGATAAAAAACCAAACCCAAATTTCACCTCCTCAATTCAAAAATATTCCAAAGAAAAATTCAAATATAATAATAACTTCCAAACTATCGAACTCTTTACTGAAAAGAAAAGATCTCTGCCCAAATTTCTATCCCCTCCCAATGTAGGAAGATAAAAAACAAAACCCAAATTTCACCCCTTCAATTCAAAAATATTCCAAAGAAAAATTCAAATGCAATAATAACTTCCAAACTATCGAACACTTTACGTATCCCTGAAAAGAAAAGATCTCTGCCCAAATTTCCTTCGACTATCTATCCCCTCCCAATGTAGGAAGATAAAAAACCAAACCCAAATTTCACCCCCTCAATTCAAAAATATTCCAAAGAAAAATTCAAATACAATAATAACTTCCAAACTATCGAATACTTTACGTATCCCTGAAAAGAAAAGATCTCCGCCCAAATTTCTATCCCCTCCCAATGTAGGAAACAATAAAAAACAAAACCCAAATTTCATCCCCTCAATTCAAAAATATTCCAAAGAAAAATTCAAATGCAATAATAACTTCCAAACTATCGCATACTTTACGTATCCCTGAAAAGACAAGATCTCCGCCCAACTTTCTATCCCCTCCCAATGTAGGCAGATAACAAACCAAACCCAAATTTCACCCCCTCAATTCAAAAATATTCCAAAGACAAATTCAAATGAAATAATAACTTCCAAACTATCGAACACTTTACGTATCCCTGAAAAGAAAAGATCTCTGCCCAAATTTTCTTCGACTATCTATCTCCTCCCAATGTAGGAAGATAAAAAACCAAACCCAAGGATCGAAATCAATTCCAATCGCAATTTACGATACACCGAAAGCTCGAAATCGACGCCATTTCGATAGAATTTCTCTTCATCGGCGCAACGGATCCAATTACCATCCCCCTCCTCCTCCCAAAGTAATTTCCTTTTTTCTCAAACCGATTCCAATCAAGTACTATACCCTTAATCCCACTCAACAGGAATCCTCCAGAAAGAGGATCCCTTCTGTTACACGCCGATTCCGCGTGTAACACGATCCCCTCTCCTCCCCCTCCCCCAATTACTCGCAATATTTCGGCGCGCGATACAACACTCCATAATTGGTGACAGCGAACGAGTTCGCACGTCTTCCGAGAAACTTTTATTACCGCGCCTGCTATTTCTGATGCTCGGTCGCGCGCGATCGCAGCCGACGTCGATGCACGCGCCGAATTGCACTCGAACACTTTTTTTCTTTTTTTTCTTTTTCGCGCCACCCACCCCTCCCTTCCTTCCTTCCTTCCTTCCTTCCTTTCTTCGTCCAACAGGCTACCACGGTTTAAAAATTGAACCGGGTCGCCGGGTTGACTCACACTCGCAGCGGGTCGTAATCGAAACTGGAATTCGAATCGGCCGTTGATTCAAGTGAATTGCATCAATAATAATAGTAATGATAATTGACAAGTTTTTCCTGGTGAATATCCAGCACGGTGGTATTGCAGGCGGAGATCGTGGAGGAGGCGTCCACGTGTATTTTTCAAACGATTTAATGGATCGCCCCGCGGGCAAATGGATTGCATTCGAGGAAGAGGTAATGGAGTCTTGGGGTTTAGAGGTTGGTTTTTACGACTGGGGAGGGGACCAGGTTTTTTTTAATTTGTTGGATAGGAGCGAGCTAGTAAATCAAACGAGGACCTCGTTCGAAAGCGATTTCTTTTTTCTCTCTTTCTTTCTTTTTTTAAAGTAGCTCGGATAGTTGGTTTTAATCGCTCGTTCGTGGTTTATGGATTCCCTTTGCCAATTATCTGAGTGGATGTTAGCAATGTTTTGAGTTTTGAATTTTTTTTTTTTTTTTTACGGAAATTATCGAAATTTTGAATATAAGGGATGTATCGATCGATAAATGGCTTTCGAAATATTTTGATAATATATATAGGTCGTATATATAGATCGTGAAAGTGACGGGGAAAATACACGAGATGATGTTGGAAAACCGACCTTTTTACATCGCGGTAGATCGTTCCACGACGTGATATAAACATTCGTGGCCGACATACGCGGAACTCGCGCACAGTCGTTCGAACTTTGACCCGCAAACTTCGTTAATAACGTAGCACTTCCGGTTCACGGTCAACATTATTACACTTCCGTTAATTTTTCTTCGGTTAATTACGACGAGACAATAAACAACGATGGATGAATCTTTAACGTCCGTTTATTTTGATAATATTTCTATATTCGTTGATCAACGATCGTCGAAATAAATTTTCCTTTCCACGCATAATTTAATTAAGCGCTGTTGAAAGTTGAATAAAAAATAAGATTAGATATTCAAGCTTGGAATTACGTCTGAGACGTTTCTTTGCCAACTTAATCCAGTTTCTACTTTCTAAATAGATACTTAGGACGAATTCCATTCGCCGATTGTCCACAGGCTCGTCTACGGCTCGAGTCGTGAAAGTGAAGCAGCTATCGTAAAGAAAAGAAAAATAAAAAAAGAAGACCCATTGTCGTTTTACGCGAGAGAGTACGCTAATTAGTATTTTGCCGATCCATCGATTCTCGATTTCCTCGATGCGAAACACCTACAACCGTGTCGAATCGATTTCGCGCTTCTACGATCGCCGTTCTCACTTGTCAATCCATTTCGTTTAGTGAAAGTATCGGCGATATTTATTTAGATCGAATCGCTTCGTCTGATCGATTCTAATCCATATCCTCGATCGTAATATCGTTATTTGTTCGAACTACACTTTTTTCTTTATAGAAAAATTTCCATCCCGATCCTTTCGAGAGAAACAATTTAGCAATATCTAAATATTTCCTCCTTATCAAATATTATTTACGAATTTCAATGTTAATTTTCGTCAAAAATTTTCAAGTTTGTAAAATCTTGCAATCTTGTAAAATCTTCTCGATAAATTCTTCTTAAATATCATTTTCTCACCGGCTAATCCAATCGATCTAACGACGTCTTTCTTTTCAGATCGGGGAACGAGGCGCGATTCGAGGCAGCGACCGATCACGACAAAACCGCGCAAGGTAACGCAGCTTTCACTTTATTCGTCTCGCCTTTTGGCCAATCTCGAACGTTCAAAAAAATAAGAGATCTAACCAACGCGTCAAAGTGTCGGAGAAAATAATAAACGCAAAATTTCACGCGAAACAAGAAATTTCAATCCTCGAAAAAAAAGCGCAGAGACTTCGATTCACGAACGAGGAGGGAGAGAAACGAAGATTGATTTCGAAAAAAAAAAAACAATAACACTTTTCGACTCCCGTTACATCATAATCGTAATATCGTTGACTCATTTCCGGCCGATTTAGTTTAATATTCCGGGTATGATGCACGCCTTCACGTCCCATGGTTAAATGCGTTCGATAAATATTCCAAGGCCGAGAAAGTTAATTCGTCAAACTTAATGGACAGCCGCCCATAAATATCGCGTGGACGAATTCGGGTTTGATCGAAACGGATAACGATGGATCCAAGGGATTCGCCGATCTTTTCATCCTTTTTTGGCGTGAAACCAGGGATTTCAAAGGAAAACGGGGAAAAAAACAGAGTAGATAACGAATCGCTCGATGGAAATTGATAAAACGCGAGAAAATATCGCGATATGACATCTGGTGACCCCGCGCCGTTTTTCCCAACCGCTTTTTGACCGATCGTCGATAAATTATTTTCGACGCGCTTTGTACGCGCTTACCTTGGATCAAAGCGATAAATTAATCCCGTGGATATTATTCCGTTAAACGCAACGATGATCACGCTAAATATCCGTAGTTCGATTTTTCGATGTGTCGAATGGAAATCGGTCGATCGATCGTAGAAGAAAAAAGAAAGTTTCGCCAAGAGATCGAATCGAATGTTTCAGTAACAATTATGGATATTTCTGGACCACTGTTATGCTAATCGCGCGGTTTTTGAAATTTGATCGGCCGCCAGATATAACATCGCTCGCTATTATATCGTTTAATCCCGATGTTCGACGCGAAATTGCGCTTTCTAGATGTCGATATTTTCGAGCGTGTTGAGTTAAACAAACAGTAATGCAATAAAAGTTAACCGCTTCGGTTGAATGGACGCCAAATCGGTTTGTCATCACTTCCCTGAATCGTTGTCGAGAGATTCATCGCGATGCATTCCCGTCGTTTCCCAATTTTTCTCAATTCACACGAAATTACAATAATATTCGTGACACGACAAATCGATCTTCGAGAATTCAAACTTTTTTCAACTTTTCCGCTAAAAATTTACCTGTTTGAATTCGAATAAATAAATATTCGTGGAAAAGAAACAATGTGAGCTCGACAACCAATCGAAAATATCCAAAAAAAAAATATATATATATATATATGCTCGCTTTTCGCGTGATTCCCAGAAAATTTTCCAATTTCCACTCGTAATAAAAGATAACGCGTGCCAGCTGAGTCGAGGGGGGCTGGCGGAACACGCGCCTCTTTGATTTATCTGTCGTCTGTTGTCACGAGGACGCGTCTTAGGCCGTCGTCTCTCGAAACTCGAGGAACGGGGCGTACGTACGTACGCGTGTCGTAACGAGAGGGGCATTCACGGTACATCGGAAAGAACGACCTTGCTACATTATTAGACACCGCGCGCGGCATTAGTTAGAACAAAAGCAGTGCTCGCATACCTCTTTCCCCGTCCTTTCGTTCGAGGAGGGCTCAAAAGTTCCAAAGAAGAAAAAGTAGAAGAAGAAGAAATATTCTCGAGGATATTTTTTTCGGAAATATCGATACCGCAACAACTGTCGAGAAACTTGCACTCTCGAGTTTTATTCTACGATTTTACAGAGGTTAATAATTTTTTTTTTTTTTTTTTTTTTGCAGTTTAAGTTAATTTTGGTACTACCACGTTTTTAATATTGCGAACAGCTGCGAGGATCCAAATCCACAAATCCACTTGTGTACAGGAATACGTGCACATATTTTAGATCGTGATCTGTGCAATCTGTTGAAATTATATTTGAAAATGACTGTCGCATCGTGATATACAACTGTCTGACTGACACGAATAACTAACTTTCTGAATTTCTATATATATATATATCGTCAGTTTTTAGCTTTAGGGAAACGGAGAGAAGAGGAAGGAAACGCTAGGGAGGCAATTTTTTTTAAGGAAATGGCGTAGCTTAATCGCCACGGTCAAATGAATTTATAAGCAAGAATTCGTAAGAGGTAATTAGCAATTTCAAACATTACGACGAAGGATAATAACGTAATAATAATAAAATGTCACCGCCCATTACGAAATGAAACTCGAAGCGAACGAAAAAGTGGCACATGTACGCGTATATTTATAACGGGATAAAAATGAAACTTTCTAAACACACTGTATATATCGAAAATTGAATTTCAATCCCGACGACGATAATAAGCTAATACGATCGACGCACAATGGTTTCGAAAGACAGGATCGAACTTATTTTTTCCCGATTTTCATCTTATAACCGAGATTTAATTTTTAGAAAACGACATTGCTTTCTATTATAATTTATTATTTCATCAAAAATGTATATAACATAAAAATATATAGAAAAATAAAACGTACAACTTGAAATAAAATAGAAAAGAAATTAATAAACACTTAAAATGAAAATGAAAATAACAAAACAAAATTACAAACAAAGTTATCCAAATACGGATTACGTAACATTAAAAATATACGATTAAAAATATGCTAATTTTATTTACTATTTGAATATGAATCCGATGACTCGAGTAACACGAGGATGAGATAAATGGATTGGATAATTTGTATTACAAATTGACAAGAGAGATAATCGAATCTTTTGAAAAAAAACTAAAAAAAAATAAATAAACAATTCGCGTGGACAACGCAATAATCATCGCAGCAACGATCAAACGCGTCATCGGCCTTTCTTGGTTTGCAAGAAACGAAGAAATCGAGGGAAAGATACACTCTCGAATACGCGCACAGATTCCGTCCGGCGCAATGCGGTAACCCGAGTCGAAAGTTTGCTATTTTTTTCCCCCCTTGATTCGTACTTGGCCAACCACAATATTAGCAGCCGCGTTTGACTCATCGCGGCGATTTCCTGCGAGCCACGTTGCTGCACATTTTCGCGTCGCGTTCCCCCCGCGAATTTTCCCCAGCCTTAACAAGCCTCTCGACAAGCGAAATTGGTTAAAGCGAAAAATACTGGATCTGGAGCTGAGCCAATCGTACTATTCGCAGAGCGAGTGGCATAAAATAGCTTTGTTGTGCGTCGAACGTCGCGTCCTCCCGAGACACTGTTTCCCGCGCGAGGAGATGATACGTGATCCAGATATACGTGGAATCGTGACGCTCGAATTTTCCTGGATAAATCGCGGATAAACGAATGATCGACCAATGGTTTGTGCGAGGTATCGTTGAAGAAGCAACAGAAGAAATTTGGTGGGTTTCAATTTTGAGATGCTTTTATAGGTAAAATATTAATATAATTGGTGTTTTTGACATTTGGAATTAATAATGAATGACAATTTGTAAGATGAAAGTAATAACTGTTTGACAATTCGATTTTGTAAGTAAAAAGTATAAAATTCTATAATTAGTGGGATATTAATAATGAATAATAATTTGTAAGATAAAAGTGATAACGATGTATTGTCCGTGATAGAAGGCGAGACAATTTTATCCCCTATCCGACTAATTAAAAATCCATGGATAAAGATCCATCCGGTACAACGCCCTAAAAACGGCGTTTCAATGAAAACTCCCTTAATTTCCGCGGCAACTAATCAAGCTTCATCATCGATCACAGGCCAACCGTCTTCAATCCCTCGCGAAGAAAGTTCAGAGAGAGTCCAACTTCGACAAAAGAGCCTGTATATATACAGAACTCGTTTCCAAGTAATACTCGGATCCATCCGTTCGAATCTTATATCACTTGGATCTATATCATCTTTCCTATTCACGATCATAATAATAAATAGGGTCGAGGAGGAAAGAGATTCGTGAGTAGACTCGTTCATCAATGATCATCAAAATGATTGATTTTTAATCACCATGTTATCTGCGTAAAATTTCTTCTTCTTCAAGTTTCATCGATGGAAATATCATTGATAAAGAAAGAAAAAGAAAAAAAAAGAGAAAAGATTCGTAGCAATCTCGTTCTTAATTCGATATCAAACATGGCGTAAATGGCGTAAAATTTCTTGGAAGTTTTCTCGGGCCACCATCGATAAAATATAAGGAGAGAAAAGGATACACGATACCCTATTCTTTATTCTTCATTCTTTAGCGAACAATCGACTTTATCCACGTTATACAATTCCCAATGGTGCACCACCAATATGAAAACAAGATCCAAAAGAAGAAAGATTCGTGATATCTCTATTTCTCTATTCGACATTGAATGACGTCGTAAAATTTTTTCACCGGCTCTCTAGCGCTCCACTGATAAACGAGATTCAAAGGAAAAAGAGATTCACGATATTCTATTTTCTACTTTCCAATTATTATCCCTTGTGAAATTCCCTTATTGGAAATAGTTCGCCATCATTCACGTGAAAAACCAGAGAAGAAAAGAAGAAAAATTCATAAAAATTTTTTAATTTCCTTTCCATCAATAGTATTGATAAACAAAATCCGAAGAAGAAAGGGATTCGCCATATTCTTCCTTTCCAATTATTATCCACGTGAAATTCCCTTATTGGAAATAGTTGACCAATGACGCATCATTGATACGATGAGAAGAAAAATTCATGGTATCCAATTCTCTATTCGATATAAAAATTTTTCACTTTCTATCAATAGCATTGATAAACGAAATCCAGAAAGGAATTCACGATTCCCTCTATTTTCTACTTTCCAATTATGATCCAAAGAAATAGTTCATCAATGATGCATCATTGATACGAAAAACGGAAGAAGAAAGGATTGGTGATACCCTATTCCCCATTCGACATAGTAAAATTTCTCCACTAGCTTTCTATTCCAATAATCTATACCAATAAACAAAATCGAAAGGAGAAAAGGGATTCGCCCTATCCTCTATTTCCCATTCGTTACA